AATGGATTAAAGATCTAAATATTAAAACAGAAACACTAAACCATCTGGAAAAGGTGTAGGAAAAGATTTTATGAACAAAACCTCAGTTGCCCACGAACTAGTACAATCAACAAGTGGGATCTCTTGTTATTAAAAAGCTTCTGTACAGCAAGAGAAACAACCAATAGTGTGAAGAGACAACCCACAAGGTGGGAAGAACTTTACCAGGTTTTCCTCAGACAAAGGTCTACTATCTAAAATATGTAAAGAATTTTAAAAACTCGGATCTTCCAAAATTAAAGACCCAATCGAAAAATGGCCATCTGAAATGAACAGACATTTCTCAGACAAAGAATTAGAAATAGCAAATAAACATGTGACAAAATGTTTCACTGGTCATCTGAGAGATGCAAATGAAAACAATGCTGAGATTCCACCTCACCCTGAAAAGAATGGCTGCTATCATGAAATCAACCGATGACGACTGCTGGTGAGCCTGTGGGGAAAGAGAAACCCTGCTCCACTGCTGGTGGGAGTGCAGACTGGTGCAACCACTGTGGAAAGCAGTATGGAGATAACTTAACGAACTAGGACTGAAGGTCCCATTTCACCCTGCTCTTCCCCTTCTGGGTATCTTCCCCAAAGAGTTAAAAGAACCATAACACAGTGGTATAAGCAAACCTATGTTCTTAGCAGCACCATTTGTGATAGCTAAAACTTGGAAGCAGCCCAATTGCCCATTCTCAGGAGACTAAAGAAAATGGATGTTTTTTAATAAAATGGAATACTAAGCCACAAAGAATGAGAAATTAGAGACGTTTAGCTATAAAAGCACATTGTGGTGATACTCAAGTGAAATAAATAGCATGCATATGTGTAAATACTGAATAGTTTCTCTAGGGTGAGAAAATGAAAGTGTAGATAAGGACTAAAAGGTATAATAGATAATGTGAAATAGGAATAAAAGGTGCAAAAGGGGAAGGGGAAATGGGAGGGGTAGGGGAAAAAAGATGGAAATGGAATTAATATGAGAAAAAGAAAAAATGGAGACAGTATTTTGTTTTTGTTTTTGCTTTGGTACCAGGGATCACACTCAGGACCTTGTGTTTGCAAGGCAGGCAGCGATACAGTGAGCTAAATCCCTGACCTGAAACAAAGTCTTTGTAGATAGGGAGGTGTGGAGGGGTTGAAGGGAGGGTAGGGGACCGGGGGAAAATAAGAACCAAGATAGATTACGTGAAGGTACAAATTTCCAATAATGAACGTCATTACGTTGCATACCTTAAATGTACCAATAAAATTAATTAATTAAAAAATAATAGAACTAAATAAATAAAAATGTGATTTCTTGAGCAGGGGGACACACTGGCTAATCTAATCAAGAACACAAATTAGAAAAATATATAAAAACGAACTGCAAGAAATAACTTTTAACAAGAAGGAAATTTTTTAAATCCCAAGAAACTACATTATACATTAGCACATAAGTAAATTTGAAAACTTAGATGAAATACATAACTCCCTAGGGATGCAATTTTACAAAATTGACCCTCATAATGAATACTTAAAATGCTTAAGCTAATTTTGAGAGAGGCATTTGATTGAGAAGCACTCCACTAAATAAACTGTCACACTCACTTGGTTTCACAAGGGAATTCCACTAAACCTTGAAAATCCAAAAAAGACCAATGCTACACAAATTATTCCAGAGTATAGAATGCAGAGAAAAATTTGTAATTTTTTAATAAAACAAGATTAAGTGTTCTACCTAAATTCAGCAAATATGACATACACCTAAAAACTAAAGATCATTCTCACTAATGAATATTAACACAAGAAAAACCTAGACAGAACATTAATAACAGTATATAATATTCAACTTCCAAATACATCATCAAGTAAAATTTATGTCATGAATGCAAGAATTGTTCAATGGTAGAAGTCCATTAGTATAATTCACCACGTTAATGAACGAAGAAAAATACGATGCTGTGGTATGGTTTGAAAATGTCCCCAAAAGATTCATACATTGGGAGCATGGCTCTCATTTTGGTGATTTTGATTAGTTGTGGGACCTTTGAGAGGTGAAGCCTAGTGAAAGGTTGAAAGACTGGCTCCTCCCTACGCTGGCTTCCAGTCTTACCATATGATTTCTCCCTCTCACACATGGTCTGGCTGTGATGTCATTCACCATGAGACCTTACCAGAGCTGAGTCCACCCCAGTAGCTTGCCCTCACGCCTCCAGAACTGCGAGTTAAGTAAGCCCCTCTTCCTTATGATGTACCCATCCTGAGTTGTTTCATTATAGTCATAGAAAACTAGTACAGTGAAGTGATTCCTTCTACAAATGTTGAAAGGCATTTTATAAAATTGGACATTCATCCCAAGTGAAATAGGAAGCAGTATATTTCCTTAACAAAATTAAAAATAAAAATGTAAATCCAAAAGCTAGATTTTATTTAACAGAAGAAGAAGAAGAAGAAGAAGAAGAAGAAGAAGAAGAAGAAGAAGAAGAAGAAGAAGAAGAAGAAGAAGAAGAAGAAGAAGAAGAAGAAGAAGAAGAAGAAGAAGAAGAAGAAGAAGAAGAAGAAGAAGAAGAAGAAGAAGAAGAAGAAGAAGAAGAAGAAGAAGAAGAAGAAGAAGAAGAAGAAGAAGAAGAAGAAGAAGAAGAAGAAGAAGAAGAAGAAGAAGAAGAAGAAGAAGAAGAAGAAGAAGAAGAAGAAGAAGAAGAAGAAGAAGAAGAAGAAGAAGAAGAAGAAGAAGAAGAAGAAGAAGAAGAAGAAGAAGAAGAAGAAGAAGAAGAAGAAGAAGAAGAAGAAGAAGAAGAAGAAGAAGAAGAAGAAGAAGAAGAAGAAGAAGAAGAAGAAGAAGAAGAAGAAGAAGAAGAGAAAGAAGAAACATTACCACTGGAGTCAAGTATATGGCAAGGATATCAACTATCTCTACTACTACTAACACTCTTTATGGGATGTATCAGCCAGTGTAATTAAACAGGAGGAGGCAATGTAAGGCAAAAGAATTATAAAAGAAGAAGCAAAACTATCTCTATTTGCAGATGATATGATAATATACTTGTAAAACCCAAGACATTCAATGATATGGGTGAAACAATAAAATAATTCAATAATAGGGTGGGAGATAAAATTAACATACAAAAATTAATAGTGTCATATAAGACAAATAATGATCAGTTAGAAGAGATAATAAAAGCAAAAACCATATTTACAATAGCAGCAATAATAAAGATAAAATACTTAGGTATTAATAACAAATATGTAAAAATTATAAGACATCTTTAAAGTACTCCTAAATGATGTAAAGGTACACTTGATGGAAAAATATCCTTTGTTCTTTTATAATATAGCATTATAAAGATGTCACTGCCAGGCCTGGTGGTTCCAGCTACTCAGGAGACTGAAGCAGACAGATCACAAGTTCTAGGCCAGCCTGGGGAACTTAGCAAGACTTTGACTCAAAATAGAAAAAGAGTTGGGGATGTATCTCAGTAGTAGTAGATGCTCTCCTGGTACAGTAAAACACACAGATGTGCACATGTGCACACATACACACACACACACACACAGAGAAGAGAGACTATTTATCTTTACATTATAAATTTAATTCAGTTCCAATAAAAATACTGGTAAATTTTTGTTGATTCTAAATCTCAAATATACTGTACTTTAAAAAATAAAGCACATAAGAATAGCCAGAAAAACTGAGAAAGGAAAAGCAAAGAGGGTAAATCCACCCTAACAGACATTAGAATGTATTATAAAACCTCTGTAATTAAAACTGTGTGCTCATGTGTAAATACTGAATAGTTTCTTTGGTGTGAAAAACTAAAAGTGTAAATAAGATCCAAATGGTATAATTAACAATGTGAAATAGGGAGAAAAGGACTAAAGGAGTAGGGGAATGGGAAGGGTAGGGGAAAGGAAATAAGAGAAAAGAAAAAATATGAGAAAATGAAAATATGGAAACAAAGTCTTTGTAAATAGGGAAGGGTGGAGGGTGTGAAGGGAGCGCAGGGGTATGGGGAAAAAATGAGAACCGAGACCTGTCATATAAAGGTACAAGATCCCAATGATGAATGTATCTGTACTGTATACCTAAAAAGTACTAATAAACTCAATGATTAAAAAAAAACTCTGTGCTCTTGGAACATAAATAGTAGAATAGTGAGGACTGGGGATTTAGCTCAGTGTCACGGTGCCTGCCTCACAAGCTCAAGGTCCTAAGTTTGATCCCTGGAACAACAACAACAAAAAAAGTAGAATAGCAAGTCCATAAATAGACCCAAGGACATTTGAAAATCTAACATAAGACTACTGAGGATTAATTCCCAGAAATGAAATGAATACTACAAGTGGTAAATATAGCTATTTCTAGATAATATAAAATTCCCCTCCATTGGAACTGCTCTCTCCACTAGCAAACGAAAATGTGTATCTCCCCACTGTCCCATCTACAGGATGTACTGTTATGCTTTTGTTTTCTATTTATATTGGTAAAAGTGGTATCTCAGTGCAGTTTTAATTTGCATTCTCTTATTATGAGTGAGGTCTAATAACTTTTATGAGTCATTTGTATATTTTTATACCTTTCTTTTGTGAAGGTATAATTTTCATACACAAAATTTACAGATCTTAAGTATTCAGTTCAGTGGAATTTGACAGTTGAATATTCCTGTGGAGCCACCAGTGAAAACAAGATCTAGAATATTTCTATCACCCTATCACCTGTGCTCCTTTCCACTCAGTCCCCCATTCCCTCCAGAAGCAAACACTTTTTGATATTTGTCATTATAGATGAGTTTTGCTTGTTGTTTGACTTTGCATCAATGGGATTAGACTACAATGCATATTTGATCATTTTGTAAATCTGATTATTTTGCTCAACAAAATTTTTTAAAGATTTATTTATGTTGAGCATTAGTTCAGTTTTATTATGGAGTAGTGTTTCCTTCTCTAGATATAATACTTGCAAAATCAATTAATGAAAAAAAATTCCCATAGAGACCACTCAGACTATGTCCTCCCTCTCTTACTCTCTCAAAAGAAGAGAACAATTATCAGTGGAAAATGGCACTTGCAGGCAAACAACACCAAACTCTGGCTTCATGTTTAGAGAGAAAGCAGCCTCTTCTCATGGTTTCCAGTGTCCTCTGTGCCCAGTGAAACTTCTCTATGTGTCCAGTGAACTATCAAAATTATCTCTGAAAGTATGGTCTTCAAAATTAATTTTTGTCATCATATGATTTCTCACTGGTGAAGAAACATGGAAAGGGGTAAAAATAGAGTGAAATCTGTGGTTTGGGATTAGGATTGGAACTATCAATATGCACTCTTGGTTCTTAACATAAATAGATCAATCTAGAAGTAGCTGTAGGCATACAGGTTTGTGTAAGTGCATGTATATATACGTACATGTATCGCCCAGCTCTGTCTACTGATATAGCTTGGGAGCCATGTCACTTATATAGTAAAGAGCACACCTACCACCTGTACCTTGGTGTCTCTGTCCATTTTCTGTAGCTATAACAAAATATTTGAGAGCAGGTAATTTTTATATAGAGGTTTATTTGGCCTACAGTTCTGGAGGAGTGGAGTACAAAAGCGTGGTGCCAGCATCTGGTCTGGGCATTCTGGCTGCATTACAACATGGGCATCATACACTAAGACAGAGCAAGTCTGCTAGCTCAGATTACTCTTTCTGTGCCATTAGTACCATAACTCCATCTTCATGACCTCATCTAATCCTAATTAGCTCAAAGACCTCACCTTCAAATACTATTAGCATATGACTTTTGGGGACACATTCAAACCAAAACACTTGGTTTCTAACTACCATTCTCCATGAAGAAGAATCAAGGCTCTGTAGAGATATAGCCCATTGAGTTCAGAATTGGGGTGAAGAGAATACAAGGGTAAGTCTACAATGTCTTTGGCTAGATAGTAAGGGCACTCAAAAACTGATGTGACTTAGGGGAAGGGTAAAAAGGGAAAAGAAAAAATGTGAGATAATGAAAAGATGGAAATAAAGTGGTTGTAGATGGGGAGGGGAGGAGGGGGTAAAGGGAGGGCAGGGACAAGGGGAAAAAATGAGAACCAAGACTTGTCATGTAGAGGTACAAGATCCCAACAATGAATGTAACTGTACTGTATCCCTAAAATGTACCAATAAACTCAATTAAAGCTGAAAAAAAAACTGATGTGACTATCTTAAAAGGGTAGAGGTATCAACTTGAAGGACCTTTGGCCACATTTCAGCAATACGAACACGAAAAAAAATAAAGACAGGAACAAATTATAACACACTGAGTTATTATTGCTAATTGTTACTAAAACTAAAAACATTAATGTTGTGTAGATGGAAAACATTTTATATGAAATGCCAACTAATAAATATAGAAGAAACTATACAAATCACCATTTTATAACCACCATAATAGTAACTGACTCAGATGCAAAAAGCACCATTGGACAGAAGGTTTTGGAAATCATGATTTTCACATGAAGACGTATGAATTATTCATTAATTCTACAGGGAAAATACACTGATTTAGTGGTGGACTTGGCAAGCACAATATTAACCAAATAGGCAAAGTTAATATCATCAAACAACCGTGCCTGATACCACATGCCCATAAAGAGATGCACTGCAAAGTATGAAATATTCCCACCAAAAATGTTGATTCTAATCATAATAAAAGAATCACTGAAGTCTAAATAAAGGCACATTTGGCAAGTTCCAGAAATATCAGTGATATGAAAGAAGAGAGAAGAAACTAAAGAAGAAAACTAAATGCAATGGGTTGATCTTGATTACATACTACAACATGAGAAAAAAAACTTAAACGACATTATTGAGACACATGAGAAAAATCTGAACATGAACTGACTATACATTACATAAAAATATCACATTAGAGTTAAACATCTTAAGTTCAACAATTACACTGTGGGACTATAGGTGTGTAGGAACCAGCTTGAATTTGACCAAGAGGTGACGAGGATGAAAAATAAAGAGACACAGAAATCTAGGGGTCAGGGGACTCAGGTCTCCCTTCGACACAGAGCACCAAGCGACTGACTAGAACACCTTGGTTTTATTCACTCAGATGTGGGCCTGAGCAATTAGAGTTACACAGGCGTTATCTATCTCCCACCCTCCATGGTATTTCTCTGGATAAACAACTTAATCTCAGGTGTTTTTACTTTTCCCTGCAGGGTGTTAGCACACCTGCATACCCAGTGTTCTCAGGATTCTCCAAGGTAAATGTTCTTTGTCTCATTTTCTCATCACTGGGACGAAATACCCAGCCCCCACAACTTAAAGGAAGAGAGGTTGATTTGGGGTCACAGTTACAATCCATGGTTAGCTGTCTCCAAGGCAGAATTGGCATGGCAGAGAGTCATAGCAGAGGAAAGCTGCTTAAAATAGAGTGTTCAAGGGCCGGGGATTTGGTTCAATGGTTCCACCACCTGCCTGGCAAGCACCAGGGCCTGAGTTTGATCCCTGGTACCAACATATACATAAATTTTTTTTTTTAAAGAGATGGTATTCAGGAACAAAGAGAGAAGGGAGCAACCAAGGACAAGAATATACCCTTTCAGATCATGGTCCCAGTGGCCCACCTCCAACAAGGCCTTGCCTCCTAACAGCACACTTGGCTGCTGAACTTATTAGTGAATTAGTCTACTGATGATTAGAATGTCCCTGTGATCCAATCATCTTTATACACATAAGAATTTGGGGGACATTTTAGATATAAAGCATAATAGCCTTGTTCTTAGCAAATAAATGCCAAGTATTAAAGAACAAAATGTCATCACATCTACAGTTAACTCAACTGTTGTGTTTTTGTTTTTGTTTTTGGTACTGGGGACTGGGGACTGAGCTCAGCATCTTGTGCTTGCAAGGCAGGCAGTAAAACCACTGAGCTAAATCCCTGGCCCTACCTCAACTGGTTTTAAAATAATATGTGTGTTGTGTGTGTGAATTTGTTTTAGTTACTTTACTCGGTACTAAGATAAAATACCTAACACCCAAAGTTACAGGAGGACAGGTTTATTCTGGCTCACAGTTTGTAGAGGTTTCAATTCATAGTTGTTTGGCTCAAAGGCAGGGTGGCATGGCAGAGGGGCATCCAGAGGAGAAACAGGTCATGGCAGCCCAAAGGCAGGAGAGCACCAAAGCAGAGTAGTGAGGAACAGCAGTAACTAAAGCAGCCCTCTTCCTGGCCCACGTAGTCGATCCAGGTTACACGCCCTCAGGTCAGGGCCACTCACACCCTGGTGGGCCTTCCCATTGCTTCATCAAGAACTATGTAAAACCCATCAGTGGAGTAATTTAGTAATCACACACCCTTAATCCCAGCATTACACACTCCAGATCCAGCCAACACTGAAAAGCCCCACCTACAACTGTGTGAGGCTTTGAGGGGACATCTACATACAAACCATAACACTATCTACCTATAAAGAAAGAATATATATCTGTGTGTATATTTGGCTTATATGTGGCTATCTTTATTTTACATAGAAAGAAAGAAGGTGACTGGTAAATGTTAATTGTTGACTCTGAAGGTTCATGGATGCTGCTGGTACTATTTGTTTTTTCAAATTTTCTATAAGTTTGAGATTTTTCAAAAATAAAAATTGGGAGCATTATTTTAACACTAAATGGATATTATGAAATTCACAAAATATTGTTCGTTTGAAATAAGAAACTTCCAGCTGCTCCTCAGACAAAGGACTACTATATAGAATATATAAAGAACTCAAAACAATCAGCCCCCCCCAAATATAAAGACTCAGTTCAAAAATGGGCATCTGAAAAGAACAGACATTTCTCAGACAAAGAAGTAAAAGCAGCAAGTAAATATATGAAAAAATGTTTCACATCACTGGTCATTTGAGAGATGTAGATGAAAACAACACTGAGATTCCACCTCACCCCACAAAGAATGGCTGCTATCAAGAAATCAACCAATAACAAATGTTGGCAGGGTTGTAGGGAGAAAGGAACCCTTCTCCATTGTTGGTGGGAATGTAGACTGGTGCAACCACTATGGAAATCAATATGGAGATACCTCAAAGAGCTGGGACTAGAGGTTCCATTTGACCCAGCCATCCCTCTGCTGGGTATCTATCCAAAAGAATTAAAAGTATCATACCACAGTGATATATGCACACCCATGTTTATAGTAGCACAGTTTGTAATAGCTAAAACTTGGAAACAGCCCATTTGCCCATCAGTTGGAAACTGGATAAAAAAGATGTGGTTTCTCTATAAAATGGAATACTACTCAGCCATAAAGAATGAGAAATTAGATGCATTCATAGGAAAATGGATACATATTGAGGATATACTCCCAAGTGAAATAAACAAGTCACACATGTGTAAATACCGAATAGTTTCTCTAGTGTGAAAAACTATACTGGTACTCAAGATCCTAATGGGATAATTAACAATGTGAAATAGGAAGAAAAGGGCTAAAGGTGTAGGGAAAGTGAGAAGGGGAGGGGAGGGGGAATAAGGGAAAAGAAAAAATATGAGAAAATGAAAAAATGGAAATAAAGTGTTTGTAAATAGGGAGGGGAGGAGGGGGTGAAGGGAGGGCAGGGATAAGAGGAAAAAATGAGAACCAAGACCTGTCATGTGAAGGTACAAGATCCCAATGATGAATATAACTGTACTGTATCCCTAAAATGTACCAATAAACTCAATAAAAGAAAAAAAAAGAAACTTCCAAAAGAAATGTAGTGTGACAGTGGCTACGCTGAGCTATCACCTTAGTCTCTTAAAATATAAAAACTTACTTTGTGAAAGTTTATTTCAAGATGAAGGATCCCTCAGTGGGGATGCTTATGAAACTGTGTCCCTAAACACAGGATGCACATTTTGGGGCTGGCCTAGATTTCTTGGCCAAGGTCTTGGCTTAAGCAGATTCATTTCTGTGGCAGTAGCAACTACACCTTCAGGGAACTACCTCTTCTCACTCCATGGGCTTTTTTGTAGTTGCTGATCACAAGGCCTTGTCTCCTGGCCCAAGCACGGGTAAGTGGTCTAAGGCAGGCTAACCATGGACCCCCAGTCTCCATGCTTACCCTGTGGGAGGGTATGTGACCTAAGCTGGGCCAAGTGGTTTCCTACCTCGTATTTTATTTTGGAAGCCGGAAGATCGTTTCTTTATGGATGCTTTTACTTTCTCTGGGGATCCTTTGGG